AAAAAAGAGTATATTTTAAGCTAGACAGCAGAAACATTCTGAAGATACCAAAACCAAGAAACAACCATTCTCTCCTATAACAGACACAGCCCAAAGCAACTGACTGGAGAAAACCATTCCTTCCCTTCTGCCCACTAAGTAGGGCAAAAAGCTACCACCTTTCCCAACTTAGCTTTCCTAACCACAAACTACAGATACACAGCAGGGGGCTAACCCTGTTCTAATACTTCACCTTCTTCCCACATCCTCTCTGGTTTGGTGGTCATACTTTAAGAATTGTATTTTATCTAAAAAAAACGGACATGAAGAATCTTTACTACAGGCTTCTATGCAAATACACATGGCTTCTCATAACCACTGAGTTTACTACAGCTGAGTTTCAGCAGTAAAACGGAAGGAAAATCCCAGCTACTCAGGGCCACTACCCTGGGAGCAATTAGCTAATTCCCTGCAGCTGAGCTGAGCTTGCCCTGAAAAACTCACTGTAGCTCAGGCAGCCAATTTATCACGTTTTCTTAGGGCTCTAACTGATGCTTTAGGCCTCCCAGTCAGGTTTGTGTTTCTGCTGCTTCTTTTCATGGTGCTATTTTGAAAGCTGAAGCAAGCAACAGCAAGTATATAAGGCCTTCTCAGCCAGAGAAAAGCAAATTATGGAGGATTCAAGTCCAGCCCGCATTTTATTTGTTTTGACCACATCTGGAACGGAGACAGTCAAACACCATCATACCTGCTTTCTCCAGCCAATAGTATTCTGTTGCCCACATGTAATTTGGCCTAAAAAAAATTGCTTGTAATTAGATATCAAAGCAGAAACCAAGTCATTCTGTTTCTCACCATAGACCCCTATTTCCAGGATCTTGTCTAACCAAAACCAACTGTGACACAGGCTGACCTCCCTCTCTGCAAAAGTAAAAATAACTCAGAAGATTATATGTATCAGTATGATGTGGTGGCATCCGCCATAATGTTATTATATATCATGTTCTCTTCATCATTCCTTTTAAGGTTTGGCTGTCTCTGTATCTCTTCCTCTTAAATGGGTTACATTTTGCCCAGCATTTTTCAAGTTATTCTACTATAAAGAAAGCCTAATAGAACTTTAAAATTTATCTTCAAACTTTTTTAATCATTGCATTGTCCACTTCATAAATTCTCTCCTATAGAGGCAGAATCACATCTCCAACTAACACTGACAGGACAGAAGAAATTATGAGACATGGTAATTATACATTTTGTAATACAGACATGCATACCCACCCCAGGGACATTTGTTACATACCTGTGAATAAACTGTCACACTCCCTTCACTGGTGGGAAAATATTGCAGTTCCAGGAGAGATAAACTTTGTCCTCCCTGTTCTTGTGCTGCAGGAGACTTAGGATCCCACAGGGCTCCCAAACAGTGTTCAGCACTGTTGCAGGCTGGAGCAGTTTCCAAGCATTTATTGTTTAATCATCGCTGCACCTCATGAAGTACCTAAGTATGATTCCCTTTTAACTGATGTGGATATTGATTGGCTAACTGACCAATTTTAGGCCAGTGAAGGAGTCAGGTCTGAGAAGGTCTCAAAAATATTAATAACACCAGATCCTCTCTCCCAAAATGATGGTAGTAACACTTCCTCATGTCAGTCCATTTCTGCTGCTGTGTCTGTCCAATCAGTATTTTGACAGTACTACTGAAATATAAAAGAAAGCTTCTGGTCACATGGAATGACTTGCCTGCTTGCCTTGTTGAAGGAAAGATAACTTAAGAGATGAGTCTATTCCCAAACCAGTTGAAACCTCCATGGATTAGGTAAAACCCCTTGTATTCTGGCAGAAAATCAACTTCAGAAGCATACTGGTGGTTTCCAGGCTGGAAGACTTGGTACCATGCGCACAGTTTGAGATAAGAAAAGAGTTTGATAAGGGAAAAACAAAAAAGCTGGGAAAAGGCTGAAATGTTTACAGAGTCAGTTTTGGCACCTTAATTTGGTTCTGAAAAATAACCTTTTCTAAGTGGAATTTCTTTTATGAATGGAAAATAAAAATTCTGATCCTTTGAGGCTATATTGGGATTTTTTTAAACCCAATTCATTTTGCCCAAAAGAGTGCAGAGGAGCAATTCCAGCTGTGTATTAACTTCACCTAAGCATAACAACAGAATTCCTGATTACAAAAAAAAAAGTTATATTAATTCTTGAAGCTGCTCTTCAAAAGAGTATTACAAATAAGAAGGCTAAAACTAAACTGTGACACTAGATACTTTCAAATGTATTTTTTTTGTCATGGTCTAAATGGGAAAGCATAGTAAAAACTGTTAAACTGGAAGCATAAACTTCCTAGTCAGTTTGGTTGTCTATTTCAGCTTCCTAAAATGAACTGAGGGAAAAAAATTCGACATGCCTTCTGTCAAGACAGCTTTATGCCAGCATTAGAGCTCATGTATTTGTTATCAAAGTAGTAATTACTAAACTTTCTCTAAAACCCTAGAAAAACACCTAATGTCAAGTAGATTCAAAGACTACATAGTTCTATGGAAATGCATCACATGCCTAAAAAAAAACAGCCCACAAGCAAGAGCCTGAGAATCAGAGGTGAGAATTCATACTAAACAGAAAAGACTAAAAAAAAAGAACTCTAGCATTTTTCCCCTCAAACTAAAAACAAAACAAAACACCAAGGGTAAATTATGGTACTCGTTAGATTTTTTGCCATTTCCTTTTTTCATTCCTCCCAGATGGCTATTAACCCAAGGTTCTTTATAATTTTAAGTCATGTTCACCCTTGGATACCCTTGCCTTAATTCAACACTATAAATCAGAATAGTGTATGAATGGTGGTAACTGAAAAACTCCAGAGTTCAAGCATTTGTTGGGAGCTAAACTTGAGCTATCAGTCTAATGCTGAAGTTAAATGTGTCTTGAGTGTTTCCATGTCATGTCAAAATCTCCAGTTCACGCTATTTTTGAAAGAACTACACCTTAATTATCAAAATAAAAAGGCAGATGTCCCCAGCATCCATTTCTCTCCCATTGAAGAACAAGAAACTACTGATCACATCATAGCAGACAGCAGTGTGTTTTCCAGATAAAGGGAATATTAAGGTCATGATAAATGCAGCACTTTCATCACTGGGGGTCAATCATGTTCATTGAAGAGGAAAAAAAGAAATTGTGATGGTCTTATAGCACAATTGCTTCAGAAGAGTACACGGAGGTGAAGTAAAGCATTTATAGTGCTCATATAAAGCACCACTACCCTGTCAAGAAGGGGTCATGTTTATCATGATGTTAAAACAGAATTACAGAATTATTGAGGCTGGAAAAGACATCTGAGATCATCAAGTCCAGCCTATGATGTAACACCACCACACCAGCTAAACCATGGTACTAAGTGCCCCACCCAGTCTTTCCTTAACCCCCTCAAGGATGGTGACTCCACCACTTCCCTGGGAGTATCCTTAATTCTGGATATCAGGAGTGCATGTGTCCTGCTACTAATGCACACATAGCCAGAGTTTTTATGGTTTCAGCCATACCTTGTGGTATCTTACAGGAAGCACAAGCACACAGACATAATTTCAGCACAGCATGCAGAACAATGAGAAAGATGATCTGTTCTGCATGCTCCTCTGTGCAGCTGTCTTGCACCACTGTCAACACTAGAAAGCAAAGTTTGGTTACAGGAAGACTCACATGAATTTCCATTGTCTAAAGAGCCTTGACTTCAAAGGGAAAAGAGGGATCATCTCTTACATGGTCAAGCAATGGCAGCTGTCTCATTAGCTCTTCCAGTCTGGCATATCTTGAAATAATCTATATTGCTGACACTTCTATATTGCTGACACTTCTATATTGCTGACACTTCTATATTGCTGACACTTCTATATTGCTGACACTTCTATATTGCTGACACTTCTATATTGTTTAGTTCTACCCAGCTCTGGGTAAAATACTGCTATTTGGCTTATATGTGAGCCTGTTATAAGTGACACCTTTCTTCTCAAAGTGCACTGCATCCTCCACACTCTGGTAAGAAACATCTATTAATATTACTTTCTCCCACCAGTCACATCTGTGTGCAAAATAGAAGCAGAAACATAGGAGATTAGCAAGGGTTGTCGTTCATTTTTGTTGCAGAAAAAACAGGGTCGTCTTCATTATACAAGTGCCTAAGATGTTACATATTTTACAGGAAGAAAAAAAAATCCATGTATATTTTGACTTTCCATCTGTCTTCTACAAACATGTACCCATGCTTACTCATTTTCAGGAAGGCAACAAATTGAGAATGCAAAAAAACTTTATTAGCATAAAAATACATACTTGGTAATCAATACTCAAACTCCTTCACAGCATCTGGCATGTTTGATGCATCTTTCTGTATCTGCTACAGTTGGAGGAAAAAGAGTTTGGAAGATGTCAGAGGTTTAGGGTTAGAGGGGGGCTCTTGGTTTTTTTTGTTTTGTGCTCTTCTTTTTTTAAGTTATGTAAACAATTCAGAGTAAAACCTGTACAAGCAGAATATTAGCTATCATTTGTACACTTAAAAGTTAAATAAAAACCAATTTCAGCAATACAAAAAGCAATATATAAAAAGTATCCAGATGCATGACTTATCAGAAAAAATGCAGAAGGCCACAGCAAGTAAGTGAATGTTTTAAAAGTTAGATCATACTGGATATTCTCTGTAAATAGCTGTATGGCTCAACATGAGAAATGTTAAAAAATTACTTGGTTCCATAAGAGATCTGTACAGTTCCGTCGATTTTAACTTCATTAAACATATCAGGACAACAGACTGATTAAAAGGAACAAGAAAAGTATGCTCCAGTTTAACATTTCAAGCTGCCTCTTTGATAGAGTAACTAGACAGAGGTAGATGCCCAAGATTAGTGGCCAAGCTATTTTAGTAAGACCATTTAGCTGTCTTGTCAAGTTTTTACATTCAAAGCCAATGTGAAAAGACTTTATATATGAAGGATGTATTTCAAAAAAGCTGGCCCGAAAACCTGTATTGCTGATGGAAGTAGTTTCAGTTATACTGCTGAAAGTGAAGAGTATGTAAGAATAAATCATTTACCAGACCACTGTAAGGATACCACTGATCAACCACTAGAGCTCATGCAGTTGTTTTAACAAAAGTGAAATTAATTTATTAATTTCCTATGCTTATTTTAGAAGCTGAACCATTGTACCTATCTGGCTCATAACTAGTCAAAATAAGATTGCAGGGTACCACGGCGGCGGATATCACATGTCCAGCAATGGAAACCGCCTCCCAATGAGTTGGCATGGCGAATGTTCACTTTAATTGTGGAAATGCCTGCAAGAAACATATTGCATACTTTAAAATTAAAATCTCAAATTCATGTGGTAAGCTTTATTTAGAACAGTAGATAATGCTTTGTCAGATCATATGGCTAGATGGAAGTATGGCAAGTATTTCCTGCTCATTTGCTAAGAATTTATTTTACCAAATTCTAGGCAGAGAACAAGCTAGGAACATCGACGAGTTGTTTATTCCTGCAAAACCCTCAGGAATATACAGTGTCTGGAGCACAGCTGGTGTTTGATGTGTTATGATGTGCCAGTAATTAAAACAAAACAAAATCAGTTTTTGTGGTATGTGAAGAATTAGCTGAAATTCTGCTATAACATATGACATGGGCACATTTACATAAATCTGTGTAAGCATTTTTGGTTCAGAATACACTGAATATGCTCTTTCAAGTGCATATCAAGAAAAGAAGCAATCAAAGTACAGAGCTTTGAGTCCCTCTTGCTCTGAAAGGGGAAAGAGGCTGTTATACTTGGTTAGGCTTCCGCTCTTTTCAGATCTGATGTTTCAGCTGTGGCTCAACTTATAAACAGTCTTGATAGATGAACTAGGATCAGAAAACTTTTCTGTTATGAAGTTTGTCTTTTAGCTTCTTGGTACTTTTAGGACCTCAGGAGCAGCTCAGTAGAAACCATCATAGTCAGCAATAGTGTTGTTCCCAGTAGACCCATTTCAGTCCTAGGAACTTACTGACTACAGGAGTTTCTTTAGAACTCACAGACTGTGAAGTTCAAGTGCAATATATATATATCAAGATTAGCATCAATAGCTTCACTTTTAAGAACTTTCAAGTGTTTATAAATCCTCAGCTTCTTGCTCATGCAGAGAACCTAAGAATGAAAAGCTGAATGATTCACTAAAAGGTTGTACAATCACTCTTTAAAAGCAGATTAAGCATAAGATTACATGGTTCTCACCTGCAATCAGCTCAGATTTGAGGGAAGCTTCACTAATTACACTCACATCCATGGCATCAACCCTTCTAGGCTCACAGTTGCTATCTTTCACAGTTGGATAATTTTCTCCTTTGCATAATTTTTCCTCCCTTTAAAGGACTTTTCTGCTACTAGGAAGCATTACCTTTCACTCTATCCACCTGTCTTCTTTCTGCCCTGTCAACTTTTGCATCACCACATACTTATCCTACAGCAATAGTCAGCTGGCTGTAGCACCATGCAATCTGGCCACCCTCCTACTAACCAACTATGAGCCACAAGAAGATCTGCCTACATCTTCCCCTCCCAGGATGATGGAAGCAGTTTGATTAACTGCATGAGTTCAGATTTTTAAGTCTGTATTATTTGTCTTTGTAGTGAGCTAGGCATAGTAAGACTTACCTATTTTATATTAAGTTACAGTTCTCCTGCCACTGCATATCTAAAGGAATTTAACCCTATCACAAGGTTACATCTCACAGGACTAAGACTCCCCATAAACGAGCAGACATGTGTGGGTTAAGCAGTCTTGACAATTTAAAGTACAATGGGTTTGAAACTAGAAAAATCTGAAAGCATGTTGGCAATGAGGGACAGCAGCTCTATCCACATCACTCAGCAATATGAAAACTCAAACTCTCCAAGAGAGATTTTTACCTCCAAACTGAACATTTTTATATTTTAAAATCTCATTCAAAAGCCTGCTAGCAGTGACTTTAATTGCTACTCATAACTTTATTTGCTGCAAGCTATATGGGGCACAAGATGCAAGAAGCCTGTATTCACGTGACTGAAGTGTGCAGAAGAGAAATCACTGAATTATTCTTACTTGCTAATCCAATTATTTGAGTACCTTTTCCACTGCTGGCTGCTTTGACTACTGTGAGAGCAGTCGAAGAGAGACCTCCATTCATCCTGATGTGCACAGATGGTATCACAATCATTTTGTTTTAAGTATATGTTGAAAATTTGTTAGGACATACCTAGATTTTCAAACATCTTCTGAATTGATGTCTCATTGGCATCCACCATCACACGTTTCTCATCCAGCATTAAGACATTCATGGAGAGCCATTTAGAAGACATCCACAGTGGGTGATCTAAACACAGGAGAATGAACCTTCTACTGTACCAATGTTGACTGCATTACTACTCTTAAGAATATTTTTTTAATTCTTAGAGAAAAAAAAGTGAATATACCATCTGGAATCAGTGGCACTGGGGGGCGAACCACGGTCCAGCCTGCTTTCTTGAAGAGCTCAATCTGAAAGAGCAATTTAATTTTATTCTAAACATTTTGATTCTACTTAAAATACCACATTATTTCCTCCAATCTATGGCATATTTTCTCAGGCTGCTTCAATATACATGCCATCCCCTTCCCAATGTTCACTACTCTTGCTCTCATTCAGGTTCCATCCACAAACCCAGTTTTCATACAAGCATCTTTTGAAAGTCTTTTCAAACTTTGCATATCACTAGAATTTGTTTTTCCTGTTTTTATATATACTAGGTATACTAAAATATGTTTAAGACAAAAGGCAACACATGCAGTTTGGAGCCTGTGAAAGTAAAATATATTAGTAATAGCACAAAAGTATTAAATTCTTTATTTTTTGTATTATCCCTTCCCATATGACTGTGAAAGCCTTTTATATGAATTACATATACACTGCCATTTACAGAAACACAAGCATCAACAAAATCACATAAAATTTTATTTTCACCATGCTGCATCAGAAACTTAGTATGCAGCTTATTTAACAAAGAGAACAAAACAAGGTATCTTAGGGAATAATTTGCGTCTCTAAGAATAACATAATTAAGTTAAAAATAAGAGGATAATTTGGCTAAGGGAAATAGACTTTTCAACTTCATCGTCTGAATACTTGGAAGAGCAATTTATTCAAGTGTTACCACGAGGTGGAGCTCCGATTCTGGAAACTCAATAACCAGCCTGGCCTGCCAACATTTTAAAGAAAAGACCCTTTTCACTGGCACCTCCTCCTCGATTTCCCGGTCATCCAGAACTGCCAAATCAGTCTTCAGAAAAGCAAGCTGCATCTATCTTTTCTATCTACACAGACAGCAGTTTTCCTTTAAAAAAGTCCCAGCACATGAGTTTAACACAAGGAGACCAAGAGCCTCCTCTTGCAAGTAAGATCACGAAAAACAGGCAAAATGAAAAGGGAAGGAAAGTACTGATTTTCAGAAATTATTCTCATAATGTATATTACAAGAGGCAGTATTCAATGGGCCCGTTTGCACTGAAGCCACTTGCTGAGAAGGGAGTAATACTGCCTCTAAGAGCTATGCTGTTCACGTGGTTCCATAATCTGCTGCACATACTATTGGCTCAGCTAATTCTCATGACATTGTACAGCTTCTAAAATAATGGGAATCCCCAAGCACTGACAGCACAGGTAACATGTCTGTAACAGAGATGAACTCTTACACTGTGGAAGGTTTTCTGATCTGATTGCACTGTTTAGCAATATTAGGTTTTTTTCTCAGAATGAAGCAGTAGGTTTTACATACTGAACCATGTCTCTCCTCTTTTGTACTCTTCAAAAAGTATTTCTGCAGTAGCAGAAAACTGGGGGAGAGCAATGGTCATTGCACTGCTGAAGAAGTTCCAGGGTCAAGATGCAAAACAACAAGATCCTGAACAGCAGTCTGAGTGCTATTTAAATTCAGTAATATAGTATTATTCAAATAAACTTGTGGTTTAGCAATTATCCAGCAGGGACCTAAACATTCTGAGTAATTTTTAAACACTAAACACTTTCCCACCCTACTACACTCTTACCTGATGGCAGGGACGGTCTGGGTTAGAGAGCACAAGACCAGGACCAATGATATTAAAAGTGGCATCAATGTGCATGGGATTAGGATCCTTAAAGGATATTATATGGACTCTATAGTCTGGTGCAAGATGTCGCCTCATCCATTCAATGCCCATGTAATTTGTAACCTGAAAACAGGACAAAGGAAATTTCACCAGGCTAGAATATAAACTGCATCCAAGCTTAGTTTAAGGTTTTATTTAAATAAATATTTAGAGCAAAAATAACAGAAGTTTGTGTCCTTAATTAACCCCTTAGTTGTAAGACAGTCTCATCCCATATATCAGACATTCTATGAATAGCAATTTGATTTTTCAACTTTCTTATTTTAATGCTGTTCAAGAATTTAAAAATACATGAACACGAGTCATAGAATCATAGAATCCTAGGGGTTGGAAGGGACCTCGAAAGATCATCTAGTCCAACTCCCCTGCCAGAGCAGGGTCATCTAGAGCACATCACACAGGAATGCATCCAGGCAGGTATCAATCATTAAGATAGATACCAAAAATGTTGAAAGTAACATTTGTTTACCTGGCTCCTTTGTACAAATATATCTCTTCCAGCTCTAATGAAGTCAGCAGCATCAAAGCATGGCTCAAATTCAGTAGTTACAAATTTTCCCTGAGCAGCCAGTTTATGCCTGTCTTCAACAGAGCGGATTGGATAATCCTAGTTACAGAAAAAGGAGTAACAACTTTAGGTTGGAGATGGTAAGGGAAAGTTTTCAAGCTATTTGCTACTAAAGAGCATTCTGAAATTAGGAAAATGCTTCTATTGATAGCTAGTAGGAGCTGATTTGGTTTACTTCTTACTAAAATAAAAAAACATAAATGTGTTTAAGACAAAGCAGTTAAGTACATTCAAGAACAGGTGACAAGAGACAATAGTTATACCAAGAAGTTAATTGTTCTTCAGAGCCACTGTTTCTGTAATATTCTGGCTTCCAGATCGAAAGTATTCATTACCAGTGGAGTGTAACTATAAGCCCAACAAATGACTGCACAGTGACAAAAATACTGATATGCAAGCTACTTTCCAAAAAAAGTGGACTCCCTATTTTTCCCACATCTTCAAATGGAACAGTACTCAAACCAGAAAGTAGATCTTCAGGAACCTAAATAGATTCTAAAATGACACAATGCATTTAATAACAAATGAGGTCTAAAAACCAGCTCAAACCAACTACTGGATAAGTAGATTCTATGCTTTAGAACAGGCTCTGGAAGTTCCCTGGTACTGTCAGATTACTTTAAGGTAATTTTGTTTAACAAAGTCTCCTTTGCATCATTGATAGATGTCACTGTCCCCAGAAAGCTACAATCATTCCACAACCAGTTTTACTGTGCTTATTGTAGATGCTGTTATTAAGATCCTAATGCATTTGAGGGCCTATGGGAAACTACCAAAATTGTCTGAGTCAAAATTATTAAAAAAGAAAAAAACCCCAACATATTCACTTAAATATTTGGAAGGTAAATACTCATAATTTAGATCTTCCACAATGGCTTTTATGTAACTTTCAAAACTCATGCAAAACAAGAATTATGAGGTTTTTTTCTGGGACAAAACACGTATTCTTTCCCACTTTCCTGATACACTCAGGAAATATGGGTATTTCAGGAAAACTTAGTTCTTGAACATAATCTGTGTGATGTCTTTCTAGCATTTCTTCCTCTTTCGTAATGTTAAGTTACAATCAGTAATCTTGAATTCAGCAGATCCAACCTCCAGTTTCTTGTTCCCTAATTAGACAGACTCAGTTGCAGCTGGAAAGGCTACAGAATATTTGCATAACTAAAAAACGCACACATTTCCTGTGTCATTTTGTCGCCCCATGCAAATTTATGAAACACGGATAACAGGTTAAACTATCAACAAAATGCTGTATAACCATAATTGAAGTTCTGAAGCAAAATAAGAACAATACCTGATCATAGAGTTCATCTGCCATTGTGGGTTTGGGGGCAGTCGTCCACTTAGCACCACGGTTGAAATAATCTTTGATTATGCGTCTATATGCTCTATACTCAAAGAACCGAGCACGCCAAGCCATAGGCGCTTCAATAATTTCATTTCCAACCACCAACAGGATGTCTCTTGGCATGGCAGCATACATACCTGAAAGGAAAAATGCCATTAACCTATGAGACAAATATATTTTTCTCAGCTTTTTCAGCTTATTCTCTTTTCACTCTCATTTTACTATTACTTCTATCCAAATGAATGACAAAAAAGCATCTTTAGCAAATTCAGGAAACCAGTGCATAATTTGAGGCCTTGCATTCTTCAGTAAGGTATTAAAGTGACATTTTTTCAAAATATATGCAATGTTTGCTACAAGGCCTCACTCATAACAGGTTTGTGGCTAAATGAAAGCCATTCACAAATAACAATCCATCCATAGGCTTCATATTCAGTTCATGGAAATTAAGTAGATGAATGCTTAGGAATTACTCCGATGACTTTAAAAGGTAATTGTGGGGAGCAAGTTTTCCAAGTGGACTCCTTTTCTCTATATGTCATCCTTCTAAAAAGTAATAGCACAGAATCTCATGAAAAACAGAACTAATGCAGGAAGCAGTCCCATTAGACTTTCCATTAACATCATCTTTTCCCTAATGAATTTCAATTCCACTAGAACAACTTTAAGAACACATTTGATATGAAAGGAGCCTGGAGACTACACTTGATGCAAAGCTGAGTATGAGCCAATATGCTCTCACTGCAAATAACCAAAATCATATGGTGCTATACAAGGAGGAACGTGCCAGTAGGTAAAGCGACATTCCAATTAAACATGACAGATGAACACTTCTTGGTAGTGGCAGTGACAATGCAGCAAGGGAATCTGGCAACAGATGCTGGTCTGGGAAGTTCAACTGAAGTATTAAGAAAACATCTTTCATTCGGAAATCCATGCAGCACTGAAAGAGGTCAGCAAGCCAGGTGGTAGAATCTCTGTCTCTGGAGATTCTCCAAGTCATAGCTACACAAAGCCATCACTGACCTCATCTAGATCTGGCAATAATCCTGCTCCAAGCTAGAAAGTAGCCTAGATGACATCCAAAATGTCTCAGACAAGACCTAAACAGACAAGGCCTTCAACAATGGAAGAATATTTACCTGTAGACTCAAAATCAGGTGTTTTATACTTCACAGACCAGTCAATTGGATCAGGTCTCTTGACAATTACACCTTCTCTTTTCAAAATATTGCACATCTCCTCAATTTCAGCAATAGCTTTTTTCAAATGGTCTTTGGGGAAGCTCTGGCCTCCAAATTTCTGATAGAATGCCCAATACTTTTCATATGTGTTGGCCTAAAACAAAAGGACAGGTGACAAAGAATAAGCATTGTTTATTTTCTTAGAGTGAAACAGATGCACAAGACACAATTCTTAACATTCAAGCTTTCTTGTTTTTCTTTCACTGACTTCCCATTTTTTTGGATGTGTTATGACGCTAACATGTTGTAGTGTGCCTTATATTTGATTTGTGCAATATTCTGAAGAGTTGCTAAGAATTGTTAATGTCCTGCTGATTCTACTAAAATAAATGGAAAGGAGGGGGAGGAAGGAGGGGGAAGGAAAAGAGAAACAACAAGGCTTCAAATAAATGCCAGCTATTCCTGGTTGAGAACCCCTATCATGGTAGTGCTCTGCTGTTTTTATTTTTTGCCTATACTACTTCTATTTATACACAGCATTGGCAAGGTTTCACTCATATGTTTTATGATGTGCATGTGTTCAGTCATACGTATGTAAGTGCAGGAGTTAGACTAGTTGCGAATGGCTGATGTCTTCACAAACACTTACAATAAGTAACAAATTTAAGTTTCACATCTATATGCTAAGCAGGCACAAGATATAAATGCAGGCTGGGAGAGGTCACGCTTGAGAGCAGCCCTGTGGAAAAGGACCTGGGGGTACTAGTGGATCAAAAGCTGGAGATGAGCAGTGGCAGCCCAGAAGGCCTACTCCATCCTGGGCTGTATCAAAAGAAGTGTGGCTAACAGATCAAGAGAGATGATTCTGGCCCTCTACTCTGCCCTGGTGAGACCTCACCTAGAATACTGTGTCCAGCTCTGGTACCCCCAGCACAAGAAAAATGTGGACCTGTTGGAACGTGTCCAGAGAACGGCCATGAAAATGATCCAAGGGCTGGGGCACCTCTCTTATGAGGACAGGCTGAGGGAGTTGGGGTTGTTCAGCCTGAAGAAGAGAAGGCTCCGGGGGGAACTCATAGTGGCCTTCCAGTACCTGAAGGGGGCCTACAGGAAAGCTGGGGAGGGTCTTTTTACAGGAGCTTGCAGGGAGAGGAAAAGGGGTAATGGTTTTAAGCTGAAAGAAGAGAGATTTAGGTTAGAAATCAGGTGTAATTCTTCAGTGTAAGGGTGGTGAGACACTGGAACAGGCTGTGCAGAGATGCTGTGGGGGTTCCATCCCTGGAGGTGTGCAAGGCCAGGTTGGATGGGGCTCTGAGCAGCCTGTTCTAGTGGAAGGTGTCCCTGCCTGTGCAGTGGAGTTGGAACTCTATGATCTTTAAGATCTCTTCCAATCAAAAAATTCTGTGATTCATTGAACTAGCAGATAGCTTCAGTACAGAAAACTGACTGTACAAGTGGCATGATGCACATGGAAAAAAGTCCTTAGAGGAACAGCAGAAAAAAGGTAAAGCCATTCTGGAATGTGAACTGTGTACACATTTCATTCCCACTTGCAAGTTTAGTTTGACTTTTAGATGGTGTTATCAGGATTTTCTGTTTCCCCCTATTTTTGGATGTAGATGGATCGTTAACTTGTATTACTTGTTTCTACTGATGGAAATACTTCTATAAATAATGTAATAAATATTTCTAAAAGTCTCTTCTCCTCTTTAGCCACAGCCCTACGGAAATTCTCATTATTTATCAAATAACAGATGAAAACTAAGAATACATAATACTTCAGTGAATATTTAGTGGCTAGTATAGCCAAACAGTTCTTATTACGCTAGACTTGTAGAAACACACCAAACTACAGGCTCTGCTATTTTCTAAGGTTAGCAGACATGTTTTTAAATTAAAACAACCTTGAGCTCATCTCCAAAACGCATAAATCTGTAGTAACCTTGTTAAAACCTCACTTTGGTACCGTCACAGAGGTGATATCAGGAATTCTAAAGCCATCTCAAATACAGGTAACATGCCTTGCGGGCTAGAAGAGGCCATACTTCAGGTACAGCAGCAGTCTAGGAAATGCAAGAGATGTTAAATTCACTTGGATTGGCTTGGATTAAAGCAAGTACAACATTTGCAGGACTAAATCCTCTGCTCCTGAAATCCTGTGATGGTCCTCTCAAGTGTCCTGGTTTGAGCCAGGATGAAGCCAATTTTTCTCTTTACTGATTTTTTTTTTCTTCAGTAAGCTTTCTTGTAACTAGCAACAGTGTGTTCTGCTAGGCTGATAAGACAGTGGAATGTTTTTCTAACTACTGAGGCTTCAAGGCTGCACCTGCACTCTGCCGGCTCAGACACTATGCGGAGATCTGTGACCCCTCCGTAGGAGGCTGAGTTAGACGGACAGCAAAATTGGCCAAAGATATTCCATTCCATATATCTACGTAAGCTCAAAGGAAGGTCAGAGATCACAGAAGACAACTTCCTTCCTTCTTCTTCTCCCCTTCTCTTCCGTCCATGGCCAGCGTAGAGGGAGGACTCTGTTCATCCATCACCGTCGATCCTCAGGCTTGATCTCTTGTGACCCCCATAACTCTCTGCTTTCTCCAGCAGCAGCTCCGGGATTCCTCGGGACTCTTCCCAGTTCAGGGAAGTGCTGTGGGAGTTGCTGGGGTGGGGGGAGGCGAGAGGTTCTTTTGCCCATACCTGAATATATCTGTATATAATTGTATATATTTTCTTGTATGATTCATTAGTGTTTAATTAAAGCTGTGTAGTTTAGTTTTCAATCCAGCCAAGTCTCTCTCTTTTTCTCTCTCTCCTTCCCTACCTGGGTGGGGGGGGGAGGGGATCGAGAGCATTGTTGTCGGACCTGAGTCAAACTGTGACATCAAGTTAACTTCCAGCTCTTCAAGGACCTTGTTGGAAATGGGCCTCAGGGACAAGGGAGCAGAAGAGAGCTGGCAGATCTTGAAGGATGCTTCCCACAGAGCACAAGAGGTTTCAATCCCCTGGTATAGGAAATCGGGCAAGGAGGGCAAAAGACCAGCATGGCTGAGTTGAGGCCTGCTGGTCAAACTAAAAGTCAAGATGGACACTACACAGGCAGTGGAAGTAGGGACAGGTATCATGGGAAGATATAGGGTAATGGTCAATGGTTCAAAGTTTTCATTGCACTCACTAGGGTCAAGATATCATCTCAAATGTCCCAATATAAGTTGAATTATTATTCTTCTATCTGGGGATTTGAACTACCAAGATGCACACTAATTCATTCACACTCCTCCAACCACTTTTGACCAGAATCATAGTTCAGATTCTAAAGAAAAATATACACATGTAAAAGGGGCTACGGGAAGAGAAGTCTTCTCCACACATACATCCCATATTTACTCTAAACTACAATTTCCAGCATTTCAAACATATTTTCAATATCTTTGCTATTCCTTCAACAACAGATAAGAAGAACTCTCTCATTTTAACTGAGGTTTTCTGATCAAATTTGTCAAAATATCCTTTAAAATTTTACTTAGGTCTCTTCAGCAGAAGTAGTGTGCCAGCTCATTTTGCTGTGATAGCCACAGATTAGATGCTGCCTTGGAAACAGTACTGTACTGTGGCACTGGAAGGGAACAATTAAAGATCATCCCCAGCAACACAGGTAACGATACATACCAAGTAACTCTAAAGGCCAGGTAAAGTACACAATAAAAATCTGAAGCAAGTCCATTGTTTGAGTGTTTCTGTTCAAAAATGCATTTCCGAGAACAAAGAAATGGGAATTTGTTTAGATTCTGTTGTAGGTTGGAAACTGGAAAACATACAATACTTACTGTAGCAGATAAGAGTTGCAGTGAGCTATTTATAAGCTATTTAAACAATGCTTCTGCTGGTCTACAGCTACAGAAATCAGTCTACCTCAGACTACTAAGTAGAAAACTAGACCTGCTTTTCAATTAGTAACCATACTTAGTTTTGAGCTCATTTAAGCTTTCGTTGGTCTCATCATCCCAGAAGCTAGAGTGTGTACTTTGATAGGATCAGGGCTGTATTACTAGAGCAGACTGCACATATTACAGATTCCCTCTACTACTGACTTCTGTTAGAAAGTAGAAAGAAAAAAACATATTCCCCACCAACATGGCTATGCTGTAGCATTTCATGAGTGCAAACAAATACTTGAAAGAAGAATCCTCAAAAGTAAACACCATACCTAGTGCACAAGCTCAAGCCAAGTGTATATATAAAAACTGTATTACTTCCTATTTAAAATTGTTTTATTCTTTACCTTAACCTCCACAGAAAAGGGTGGGACACAAGCATTTTCAGCTCTTCCCACAATGACCTCTTCCAGTGGGTCCCATTCATTGTATGAGCAAACAGGACAGTCCTCAGGCACGGGGCTAGTAGCCTTGTTGTCATCGGCAGCACAGGTGTTCTGGGAGGCTGTAGCTGCCTGGGTGCTCTGGAAAGATCGCTGCACCCAACCCGTAAAGGCTCTTCCAAGCTTAAAATAAAAATAAGAATGAAAATTATCTTTGCATTGCAAAAGGCAAAAAAAGCTATGGTTCAGTCCAGAAGTGCCCTATATCTGTAACCCCAAAGCAGAATACCTTGGAGCATTAACAGAAATAGTCTGTTAGAGCCATTCTAATACAGTCGGGTTAGAAGGGTAACAACACAGAGGCACAGCACACACAGTGGCGTCTGGAGTCACTGAACTTTGTGCTGCTGAACTGGGAGTATGCCTGAGTAAGCCTCATTCAAAGAAGGCTGCAGCCACCCCTCGCCCGCTTGCCACCACTCGGAGCACCCCCGCACGCCTCCGCCCGGGGAGGGGCCGCAGATGGACCTCCGGGCCTCCTCTCGACGGCGCACCCTCAACTCCAGTCCCCCGAGCCCGGCGGCAGATCTACAAGGCACCAACCCGTGAGCCGATGTAATGTGCCGCTTCGGCTCCTCGGCTTCCCCCGCGCAAGCACCGCACTCGCAGCATCTCTGCTGGCAGGATCACGCCGCACAGCTCCGCTCCGCACAGCTCCGCTCCCGCCCGCCCGGCAGCGCCACTGCGCCCTGCCTCCGGCCAGCTGCCTTTATAGCGACCTGCACGCCCCCGCCACGCCCATTGGCGGGGGGGGCGGAGCGGCGCCGAGCCCAGGGCGGGGGGGGG